AGCTTTCAGCCGCTTGTGCATTGCAGCCCGCAGAGCGAGTGCAACAATGTTTAACATTTCAAGTCATCGGACCCGTTCACCTTACCGTTCCATCACCTTCCTTCTCATCGTGGGAATTGAGTTAACAGCAAACCAATGTCAGAGTGTGTGTGCCCCTTGTAGTCACAGGGATTCTTTTTGAATTGTTTGAGCAGGGGGCACAGGAGGCCCAGCACGTACCTGCTGTTTGAACTTTTGAACAAGCTTTGACTCCAATTTCCAGTACAGTGCTAATGAGCTTGGCAGACATGAGCGTACGACGTCATCTCGACCTGCTCGTCGCTTTCGGTCTTGAGCTTTTGGCCCTTTCTCCTTTTGAAGACCTCCAGGCTCCATAGGGTTCTCCTGGACTTTTTAGGATTTGGTTTCTTAGGCTGGCGTGTGGCATGTGGCATTCAGTCCCGTACACCAAATCATAAGTGTGTGTGTGTGTCATCCGCTGAAGAATGGCGACAACATTTCATGGTGAATGGTCCAATGATTGTCAATTAAGTCGCAAGTCCCCCAACCATTTGGGGTTGTCAAAAAAAAGAAAACAAAAACAACAAAGCACACATGTTCTATGTGGTCTTTTGTCGTCCCTCGCGGCGACTCGCGGGGTCTCAGGTGGATCTTCCATTCTCTTGGAATTGGGAGTTGCACAAAGGCCGTGCGCAGTCGCATGTCTGGAGTGGCGGATCAGTCTTCTGGATGGAAAATGAAGTGGTTTTGTGATGTTTTGTGTGGTTCTTCTTGTGCCTAGCTGCCAGAGATCATGACACTTCAGCCAGCAACACCAGCTTCGGTTTCAGAACCACCGAGATCACAGAAGTGGAGCTTCCGGGCACTGTGAAGAGAGATCTCCAGAGCGGATCGCAGAGTTCGCGTGTTTGGGAGTAGATTGAGTAGATGAGCATGGATCATCATGGATTTAACTCTTCACCACTGGTGGAGGAAGAGTTGATCTTCAGCTCGTTGAAGGATTCCATTCTTTGGTGACACCATAGTGACACCATGTGGGAACTCCACGCCACGTCACCCATGGCGCCTTCCGGAGCACACTTCGAGCTCCAGGGCAAAAGAAGAGCGATGGCAGCGCCGTCTCCGTCTTCATGTGTCCCAAGAAGGACATGGATCCCGCCAAGGCCGGGTTGCCGGGATGTCGATCGAGTCTTAAGACCCAAATGCCTTCATTGAGGAAGTCGGCCCACGGACTGACCGGCGATTCTGGGTGAGACGATGAAGTCTTGGATGAATTTGGATTTGACATGATTTGACGATAGGATCATTGGCAGTGACCCTGCAGGGGCTGTCTTCAGCTTCAGGAACTGGTTTGCTCAGCGCAAAAAAAAATGCTCTTTGTTGCGCCACCCCCCAAAAGGTATAATGTTTTAAACATGATTCTGGTTGAAATGTTTGTTTGTTTGTTTGTAATACACAACTTAGCCGTAGCCATTTACATGATCCATCGTCTCACTCATCAAAAGCCAGCCTTTTTTTGCGAACAGATGTTCCTGGATGTTCGGTAAGTTACGTAGGAACGGATCTGTTTGGATGCTGCGGCCGCCTCGCACGTTCGCCTGAACGCCGCCGAACGTGCAGATTGCGGCGGCAAAGAATGCAGATCAGGTCTCAAAAACCTTGAGGCCGCGTCAAGCTGGAACCATTTGCTGAAAGCAGATCAGTTTCAATCATTGCAAAGTTCGACCTAGAGTTGGAATCTAGAACTTCCTGCTTTGCCCTGGACCGCGTTTTTGCTGGAATGGTGCGATGAATGCTAATCCACAGGTAGTCAGTGCTATATATTCGATGCGGCACAGAAGACAGCGAGTAATCTGGAAGTCCTGCATGTCTTCTTGAAGCCTGATGTGAACGGACCATGATGTGGGCCATTCTTGGAGAATTCTAAACAGCACTTTTTCAGATTCATTCCATTGTGGTCCAGTGGATACCCCCTTTTGGCCTAAGGCATCCCAATGTTCTGCGATCCTTTACTTCCTTGGAGACTGAAGGCTCGGCAGATACTTCCGGATCATCTACACCTTTCATCAACTGTTACACCCTTCGGAACTCCTGTTCCTCAATCATCGAAGCAATGTTCAAGGTATTTTGGGGCAGATCAACGCCCCAACCGTCACCACGAAAATTGGGAGGGAGGGACATGTAGTTCTTACTAGGAAGAACATGGAAGAGTGGTCTGTGGAGGGAAAACTGAAGCTCAGACACTCGATGGGGAAGTGATGAAGTGAGCTCAGGTCTCAAAATCCCTTCATCTTTCACTCCTGGACTGCTAAACTGCAGGACCCCAGGGAGGCCTAGGAGTGTAGACGACGCCCCTCAACCTTTCAGGAGCTCTGGATGGGCACCCCTAACAAGCGCCCTAGGTCAGCAATCGAGCCAACTACGTCAGCAATCTGCCGGTCTTTTTTGAAGAAAGAGTTCGAAACCATTTCCGATCACTTCGGTTGAAGAACGAGCTTCGGTCGACCGGATGCCCTTCCCGGATCGGTGGGTTTTTCATCGGAGCCATCGAACGACCAACTCCAGTGACACCGAAGCAGGACGTCCTGTCGAATCCTTGTAGCAAGCCGACGTACGCAGCATGCTGCTACAGAATGGACGATCCACCAACTTCTTGTTGAAACGCCAATGGGCCAGTTCGATCAGCATTCGCATCGCCACCCCCCCCCCGCTTTGAGGATCCACCGGCGATGCGGGACGTGCGGTCGGGCGGGCGGGACGTTCGCCGCCTCCAGGGGGCTTCTACATGGTCACCGAAGAGGCCCCAGTTGGAACAGCGGCCACGGTACGAAATCCGGCGGATTTCAGCCGGCCGGTTCATGGGCGAAAGAAAGATTTCAAAAGGCTGGGAAGATGTAGAGGGTACTCTCGGAGAAGTGGATTCTAAGCGGGTTGCTGGATTCATGGACGAGTTCCCATCAGAACTGTAGAGGCGAGGTCTGGAAGATCAGGACTGATTGGATTGCTGCAAGGATGGACATTGTTTGAGGGAAAAGTTTCTGCCGGAGCCCCTTTGTTTAAAGAAGGATACTGTTTGTGTACTTGCTACCCTGGATAGATACCAATCCCAGTCCAGGATGCTAAAAGATAGCTTTTTTACAAGTTCTCGCAACATTTACATCCATCTTGTCAATTATCGTCCTTTTGAAAGCCTGAACACTATTGATATATTTGAGTGTTGTGAAACAGACCAAGTTCAGGGATTACGGTGAAACACATCCCGGACAACAATTCTCGTCCTTGCATACCAAACGACAACAATTAGCAATATGGACAACAAAAGGGGTTTATAAGTTATAAGGTTTAGCAGGTATGCAAATGGTTGGCTAGTAAGAAATGATTCATCAGCAAACATAGCAAAAGGGTTTCAATGTTGGACGTGATATTTGAGCCATATCCATGGCTCAGTGGTCTTTTGGGAAAGTTTCCCCTTCCTTCACTAGATCTTCGACCCCCCCACCACTCATGGGTCTTGGTGAAGACTTCAGGTGGTGCCCTTATCCTGTGCAAAACCTGCAGAGGGTGCGCCACTCAGAGGTTGTCAAGGAACGCTGAACCTGGCGCCAGGCTTTTTATTCAGAACAAAGCAAAGGACGAATCTAGGCAAGAACGGCACGACCGCCGGATCTACAATATCTGGATCTTCAAACGGCTATAGAGTTTTGCCGGAGACATTCTTCAGCGAAAAGACGCCTGCCGTTTCAAGGGTTGCCATGTGCTCAAAATCCACGGACGAGGAAAAAGACACCATTTGGACGCCGCCTATAAAGTGCCGTTTCTTTTTGGTTTCTCACCTCGCTATCACAACAATTTGCCGATGTCCGCGCGGCCCCGTTTCCAAAACAATCACCGTCCGACTTGGTAAACAAACAAACAACGCCGTTTCACAGCCTTGTTGCCTGGCCATGATTTGTGTGTTGGGTGTTTCTTGGGTGTTTCGAAGATCGAGGCCTCAAAGACTTGGAGGCCTCAAATGAGGCCTTTTCGTTGTTTCTTTTTGTTGTTGCCACGGCTGATTCTTCGAGGTGATGAGCACACACCAGCGGTCTGGGGACTCTACCAGGCCAGCTGGATTAGTCAGCAGGTGTTCCAAAGGCGGACGGCCAATAGCCCCCACTTTGTCTTTTTTCCGCTAAAATGTCATGGCCCTGCACTTAGGTATGGTCAAGTACCCAAAGAAGATTATATTAAATAAGAGATTGGTGAGTGACTTGGAATTGGACACTTGTTCCTTTGGCAGTATCCGTATTAAGTGACTCATTTCTTGTGATGACATGCAAAAGCAGCTTCAACCACTTCTTCTTTCCCGACGTTTGCCGACCTAAAACCGACCTCCAAACAACCAAAAACGCCTCTTTCAAAGATGCCGCGGCTGGAAGCGCTGGAGGCCTTGGACGGCTTGAGCTTTCTACATTCCAGCGGCTTCACCCATGGACTCTTCGGTCCACTGGCGATCTTCGTGACCACACAGGGCGACTACAGGCGACCGGCCGTTCGATCGCCCAGCTCGGTGGCGCCACAAGGCCGAGGTGGCCAAGAGTCCGACGTTGCCAAGGGATGCCAAGCGGTGGGGGAAAGCGGCGCCCAGCGACGGAACCATGGAATGCGGCAGCGCCATGCGGCCGAAGGTTTGAGGGTTTGAGGGTTTGGGGGTGCGGGGTAGGTGGGCTGATGATAGTTGATAGTTGATTTGGAACCACAAGGGTTTGAGATGCTGTTGAAGTTTGAATTGCAGATGTAATGAACATCTATGTTTGCAACATGTATCATTGATCATATTGAGTATATTGATGATATCCTGGACCTTCCGCTGGTGAAAAATTTTAGTCGTTTGTTGAAATTGATGTTTTTTTAGTCGTTTCCCTAAAATTTGGTCGTTTCCCCTGAAAAACGTTTTTTCACCAGCGGCTCATCATGTACATGCATTGCCACATGGGTGATTCATGCAAATGGTGTCTCCATCATCCCTTTTCCATGTTCAACCCCGGCCAAAAACGTTGCATGAAGCGTTGGTGGAGAAACTTGCTCTTGATAAGGTAAAGATCCATCACACGCTGTGATGTCAGCTTCGCACTCACTCTCCTTGAGAGCCTGCACACCTTTCCAATCATGTCCTCGTTGCCCGAGCATTCCCAAAGAATTGGCGAAGTAATTCGGTCATGCTGAGCAGCTAACTGAGTAGCCACATCCACAGCTGTGTGTTTCAGCATGTGAGCCTTTGGCTTGATGCCATAACCAGCCATTCGCAGATCACTCAAGCAAATGCGCGCACACTCATGGTATGCTTCCAAGAATTTTTCCATGGACTTTAGAAATGCACCTGCGCAGCATCGTGTCCAAAAAATACCATGGGAATAGTACTGCTGCTGGCATGTGTTAGCATGCTGGGCTGCCACATTCATAGCGCGAAGTAGAGCCACATCATTCTGGTCAAGCGGATTCTGCAGTAGCCCTCCTGTGAAAACATGAAGCCACTTCACCAGCAAGGCAGTGTCGCTACCTTTTGAGTTGCTCCAGGGAAACTTGCTCGCCGTTTTGGCATTTAGGAACTCCTTCGTAAAGCTCCTCAGAGCAGCTGTTTGAGATGTAGTTCGGCAATAGAAATGAAATTGCGCATGCGCGCGCTTCAGCAACACTGGCATGTTGTTTTTCTGTCCAGTTCCATCTTCGTGAAAATATCTCATTCGGCGCAACATGACAATGCAAGATCCACTGAAGTCCCGGAGTAAGCCCAAACGAAGATTATGAAACATGTCCCTTCTTAGGATCTTCTCTGGGCATGCTGGGTCGAAGGGTATTGAGAGGTAAGGTGGGTCTTCCGACCATGGCCTCTCTGTGAACTCGGTGCCGCACCAGGCGGGGATGGCGGAGATGATGTCTTCGAACGGGCGTTGTTGAGTTCCAGCCCGACATTCGTGGCACATCTCTACATTAATGGCGGTGACCCGGTTGAAGCACCTCTCCAAGTAGGAGATGCGTTGAAACCATTTCAGGTCTCCTTTCCATCCAGTCACTGCGACTCGATAGACACCATGCTGTGAGTTGACTCCCTGGAAGAACAGGTCACTCAAATCCTCAGCTATTTTCTCGATCAATCCATCCAACAACTCTTCAAGTTTGTAAACCTTGTGTGGCAAACAGCACAAGAGAAACTTGGTCAGAAAGCTGTGCTGTTTGAGGTTCGATTCCAAAAAATCACAATTGCAAAGCTCTCTATTGTAGTGGTCTCCCGGCTGTAAGCGAAACCTCTTTGCACATGGTTCCTCAAGAGTGCACCCGCATCCATTGCCTGGTCGTTTTCTTCCAGCTGCATGAGCATAGGTGTTCAAGCCAATGTTGGGCTCCAGAGTTATCACACAAGTGTTCCCTTTTTTGAGGCCTCGCCCCTCATCACCGTGCAAGCACATTGGCACAATCCAAGCCCAGTCATCTGGATTGGGATAGTAATGATAAATTCTGTGCGAAGGGTGGAACAATCGATATTTCTCCCAGAACGATTTCAGGAAGGACCGGCCAATCTCAAAATCAGGTGAACCCCCAAGCACCAAGTCCGGAGTCTTCTGAACCAAGTGCTGAAAAAAATCTTTGGGTGATATATATGGCACCCGTTCCACATGTTTGCCACCAATTTCATCTTCAACTGTGTGCTTAAAGGTGGTGTATGGGATCTTCCAAGTTAGGCCCCATCGTCGGATTCCGCGATGTATGTCTCTCGAAGCATTTGCAGAAGAAATCTTCCTTTTGGACTGACCCAAGAACTGAGATTCAGCAGCATGAGCGAGGGTCTTCAGAGTAGACGCCGGGACCTTGGAAATCCAATCAATTTTGAAGGCTTCCAAACCCCACCAAATTGCCAAACAAAAACGCAGCAAAATCCGCCGACCCCACTCGTGGGGTCAGGCGTGACTGTTGACTAAGGCTAAG